CTCTGGATTTTCCCATGTTAACCTTATGGTTTACCATATTTAAAAGGAATTAATGAATCTTAACAGCTGTTTCAATTAAACAGTTTGGTTCTGTTCTATGATGTTCAATAGGATTAAAGTTACAAGGATTACCAACAGGGTGCAGCACTATTTTTTTTTTATGACAACAGCTAATTTGCAACCAAAAGGTGAGTGAGCGTAGCGAACGAGCTCCAACCTAAAGGTGAGTGAGCGTAGCGAACGAACTTCAACCGGGACGTGATTGAGCGAACGAGCTCACTTATGAAGTTAAACGGGGCAAAGCCCGCGGGTACAGCTAGTCTATATATAAAACCAAAAGTACCCATGAACTTTTGAGAAAACTATAAGTTGCAACCCCATAAACCATATACTTAAAATGTTCGTCATGACGAGAAACCTTGCGCAAAACTATCCATTATTTCAAAAATTGCCCTTTAAGTTCGTAATTCCTTTCTAAAGGGAACATTCCATATACATTATGTTATAATACCTTAGCTGTACTTATTTGTATGTTGTTCTTTCAATTTATTACCTTTTTAAAATCAGGTGTAATTTTTTTATTTGTTTGTATTACTGTATTCTGTTTTGTTTATTTCAAGTTAACTTACCCAATCAATAGTTGTATTAACACTTATCATTTATAAGGTCAAACTTGGAGAAGCCCGTGGGTAACAGCTAGTTAACATTAACATTAATTTTGATCTATACTAGCGGCCTGAGAGTCTGCAGTTGGTGGCAGCCAAATAACATGACTGGACTAGCGCGTTTTTGCAACATCACGCGTTCAGATCGGCTTTTATAATGTTAAAAGCACAACTGAATGTTAAAAGTACTTATCAAATTTAATTATCTGCTTTAATCGGGAAATTATATTTATAAAAATTTGAAAACAAGAATATTCAATTTAAGTGTAATGTACACGTTATTAGTAAATGTAAGAGCCATAATACAACAGAAGTCCATCAGCTATAACTATCCGCTACGATAACACAAACCGTAAACATGACGAAAGTAAACTAACATCTAGCTGTATATGTATTGGCTTTCATTATTCGATTAAATAAATAATACAAATTTAACTGTTCGTCATACTGCGGCAAAAACAGTCATTTTTAATTCATGCGTTGCGGGTAATTAGTGGTTCAGACCTTTACAGTACAACGCTATTTAGTGGGCCACATTACCAACGGTAATTAGGTAGTTATTCAGAGAGTTTTTTTTAGATACTTAGCTTCTAGTTTTTGTAAACACAAGTATGCAGATCCTGCCATCTCCTTGCTACGTTGGGTAATTAATTATGAACGAGCGTCCCCATCAGGTCAATTAGCAGCGACACGGTTAACAGTCTAGTGAAATGTAGCCTGCTTCCTTACTAAGATTATGCTTTATCAAACATTAAGCTTGGTATTATCTTATTTTAGCATTTGACGAAAAGTTTAATCCCAGATATCATTAGCCTACGTAAGCAAATAACACATTTTAGTAAAACATTAATTCACATTAACAATCTCATGATTTTGTTGGTATTGTGTTCCTAAATAATTCCTAAGTAATTCTTATCGAAAATATATGTTGTAGTTTGCTTGTTTATGGATTTATTTTCATAAAATCTGGCAAACCTGTTTATCTTTTAGTAAGTTAAGCATCATTAGCAAGCTACGTATCATTAAAATACTCTTTATCACCTTCCCTGTAGCACCAACATAAGTACTAATTAAACAAAACGCTATTTAAATTGGGAATAAATACGACATTTTAAGGAAATATTTAGTTAAGATCCAGTTGGGCGAATGGAAATCTGCTCAGTGTACAGGTTTGCTGCAATGAGGGTATTTTATAATTTTATCTTGCCATATGATCATTACTTCCAGAAGCTCCACTTAAAACTTTGGAGTACCATAACCCAAAGATATTTTAAGGATACGAATGTTGGCATCTGTAGGCGTAACTTTGCCTTCACTCATTGACCACATTTTTTGAATAGGCCCTGTTTTGTTAGATAAATTAGATACCGTGCATAGTTGAATAAACTGCTCAACTAGCAATCAAACATTTTCTTTAAATCTTACGTGTGACAAATTCTTTTTAATAACCAGTGGCTTTGAATTTTTCAACACGAACAGTAGGAAAGTAAAAGTTTTTAAATAAAATATCTCAAAGTTTAAGGAATGTCTAAATACTGTATACTATAAGTGCCTATTTCTTTTACGAGATAATCTTGCATTTTAAAGTGGGTTCTGAACAGTCCAGTCATTTTATATTTAAAGTACCGTATACTTGAAAAATGGGGAAAAAATATTATTGTTCTGGAAATTGCTGTAAAATGTCCTCCTAGGTGTCTATTTTGACACACCAAAATTACCGAGGATGGGGGTCCGGGAAATGGCCGCCATCTTGGAGTTTAGGTGCCATTTTTATGTTTTTCCTAAATATCTTGAAAACTATTAACTTTTTGTATCTTATATTAAACTAGCTGTACCCGCGGGCTTTGCCCCGTTTAAATTCATATGTAAGCTCGTTCGCATGGCTCAATCACGTCCTGGTTGAAGTTCGTTCGCTACGCTCACTCACCTTTAGGTTGGATCTCGTTCGCTGCGCTCACTTGCCTTCATGTTAGCTTGTTCGCTACGCTAACTCGCCTCCAGGTTGAAGTTCGTGCGCTACGCCATAGACTAACCAACACAAGTAGACTTCTCATCCCATTGTAAATTTTGAAGCACGTTTTTCGTGTCTAGTTCATGTACGTGACACATTGGCGCTAGTGTCGACGAAACTTTGTTCCTAGTATTTTAGGGTTAATTTCATGATTTGTGCTTTACTGTTTGGTTATATAACTAGGGGACAAGTTATTGTTTATGATTAGATCGTATTATTTGTTTAAACGAGGTTTTAAATTAAAGGAAGAGTGGATTGGATTGGCGAATGGTAAAGCCGTACAAGTTTGTCCTTCTTGTAAAAATGTCGTTTTATACTCTGACGACGCGGTTGAATGCGAAATTTTCTGTAAGAAATGGTATCATTGTGCGTGCGTTGATATCAATAATGAAGAATATGTACTAATGTCTCAGCTCGCCGAAAAATCAAAGTGGGCATGTAATACTTGTGAATTGAGGTTAGGTAAGATTATTACCAAAGTCAGCGATTTTGACAGCCTAATTGACTTACACGCCACGGTGATAAACCTAATTACGGTAGTCAAAGAGAGTGTAGGATCGCTGGCGACCCGGCTTATCGAACTCGTAAATTAAGGGGTCATTAGAGTGTCGAGGCGAGTGGAGAAGACTACCTGACATAAGCCTATTCTCCCCAACAGTACTATGCCGGGTATTTCGCTGGGAGAAAGGGGTGGTCGAGTAAAGAGGGGCGGGAGAAGGAGAGAGAGGGTGAGGAGAGTGAATGTGAGCTGTGGCGAGAGGGAGAGGAGAACAACACGAGAGCGTGGCCGTGTGTTGTATGCACTACAAGTAGATGCAAAGTAGTTTCTAAACAGAAAACGGAGCTTCCAAGAAAGTATCTATTGATTGGCGTTTGACAGTCAATACTAATGCTAAAATTATAGAACAATTTGTTTTATATAATTTGTAAAATATATGTGTATGAGGCGTACATATACAAAAATATCTTACCTACTTGCTATAGGACTTTATTAAAGAACCTGGGCAGCATTAGTCCATTGGCAATCGAAACATCATTATATACCGTACTAATATTATAAAGCTGTAAGTGTGTGTGTTTGTTTTTTGTTTGGGACTCAATCAAGAAATGACTCGAATTGGGTTGAAATTTCGCATGATGATAGATCATTTTACCCATTAATAAATAGGCTGATTATTATTCCAATAGTTATTTGTGTAACTAGTGGGCGAAGTGGCGCATTGCTGCACACTAGAGAAATGTTTACGCGGGCGAGTGTTGAAAGTTTATCGAGTGCGGCAGAGGTAGTTTGCACTCGTGTTACACATTATATTTTTCCTACAAATCTTATAAATAGTTCGTCTTTCAAAATTTTTTTTAGGTTAAGTTAAATCCAAACATCGAACGAAATGGGAAACGCTACACCTTCTGATCGTAGTCGTAATACAGTATCTTAAAGTGTTGCCTACTCTTTTTGAGGCGTACACCGATTACGTGCATAATAAAACCACGCTGTTTTGTAAGTTACTAGATGTTGCAAGCAAACACAGAAAGAAGTGAAGAATTCCATCACTATTTTCTTTTCCTTATCAACTTTTTTGAAGTAGCTATTTAAATACTATAAAAACTTTTGGTACATCACTAAATTGAAAAGTAGTTTTAGGAGTTAATAAATAAAACATAATAATTAGTGTGAATAATGAATTGTAATTGGTTTTAGATATACAGTATACAACAATTATGTTAGACGTTATTTATTTTGTGGTATAGCAAGAAGATGAAATTTGATAAAATAAAAAGAAGCACATAATAAAGGAATATTAAGTTATGCCAGAACGATTTAATATAAAATAGATGAAAGTACTGTACAGGTATTAACAGCATAACTAACTAAGCTCATACAACCTATTTACAAAGAAATTAACTTTTTACAACAAAACAAAGGGAAATCATTTATAAAACAAAAATTAGAAACACAAATATACAAACTGTTATATATGATAAAAAAGAAAGTATGTATATAATAAGAGTATATTAATTATAAGATTGTTTGAAAACGCTTTACAATATCAAATTTAAAAAAAAGTACTGTACAACAATATATAAAACTACGCTTATACATATTTACAAGGATATTAAATTTTACAACAAACCAAAAAGAAACCAAACATAGAAAAAATGATTACAAACACAAATAATACTGTATACAAACTAACTTTTTAAAAAGATAAAAAAAATAAATTAAGTGCATAACATTGAAATATTAAATTCATTCAAAATAATTTACATTACAAAATTAATAACAGTATAGGTATTTACAATATATACAGTTACGCCCATAGACCTTAAAACCTCATCTTCGAGCCAACCTGGAGTAAAAATGTCTCCATGTTCATTATACCTGAGCGGTACTCGATACATTTTTCCTTAATTACTTCTCTTAAAGCCCGCTCTTTTTTATTCACCTGTCGTAGTTCTGATGGTAGCAGTCGACTAGTGCGCTCCAGAGCCTCGTCCTTCTGAATCGCTCGAAGGACCGTCCAGAATGATGGGTTTGTACAACCCACAAGGTGCTGGAACCTGTTGTTCCAAGACTCGCAGAAATTGTTTGTTTTCTGCAGGTCCTGGAGAACAATGGTATTCATGTTCCACACAGGAGGAGGAAAGGGAGCTGAACTATTGGTGCCGACCTGTCCCCCGACGTACGTTTGCTCGAAGTATAGCAGGATGTCTGCCAGCTCTACTGGAGCAGACGCCCAAAGGAAGAGCATTCCAGCTGGTACATCTGCCACCGGTAGGAAGGCCAGAGCATCCAGCATACCGCAGTGGAGCTTGATGTCAGGACGACTCTTGTAGAGTTTCACTATCCCGTTCCCCTGGATGTGCCGCCAAGTGCTCTGGCATAAGTGAAAAAAACACCCCTTCACTTGTACACCACTACCAAAAACATTGTTCACCGCGTTCATGGCCCCTTTCTCAAAGTCCATCATAACTATTTCTGGACGTGATGCATGCCCCCGCTGAGTTATTTGATTTAGCACAACTGCAAAAACCCCCTTATACATAATTTCGGTTTTGTTTGTCATGAATGCATAAATGCATGTCGTACACACATTGTCTTCGATTGCACGTATTACGTACGACTGTTGAAACAGTCTTGAAGATGTTTTGAAAGTTCCGTCCATGCACCACACTTTTGCCCTCCCTAAGATATCAACATTTTCTGGCGTTCCAAAAACGACGAACCTGTCTCTACGAGGGCCGCTGTCATGGATTAGGAAGGGCCGAGAATCCTCTCCTCCAGTCACAGCAAACTCTGGTGAAATATCCAACTTGGTGACGTTCCTTGGAAGGGCAGGGAGAGATCTCTCACGTTGCTTCCGCAAATCTCGTCTGATGGTGGAGAGTTTTCCGAGCTGAGCCTTCACGTAGTCCGGGGTATCCCGAAGAGTAGTCGCCAGTAGTCCAGGAGCTGAGGGGGGTTGAGCATGCATGAAAGTAGTACGCAATGTTATTGCTGATTATTGTAATATGGACTATGGTGATCAAAATTACGTATGTCGCCTATTTCAAAAGTGGTCGATAAGGTGGGGGGGAGGGGGCAAACATGGCGGTTTGCGCTATGCGTTAACACGCTGATAGTTCGAAAACGGTAAAAGATAGAACATCGGTTAAAACGTCGTTGTAATCCTAAAAATGTGGCCAACAATAATGGTCATTGGGTCCGAGGTCGTATCTCTATAAATAAACAAGTTATTGTATAAAATATGTAAAAATGGACTTTTCGTGTAGATTTTTTACCGAAAGTAGAATTAATTTGTGAGTGTCGCAAAGAAGTAATATCAAATATCTTTGCTGATAGTTGTAATATGGACTGTGGTGATACAAAATACGCATGTCGCCTACTTTTCAGGTGGTCGAGAACTTGGGGGGAGGGGGGCAAAGATGGCGGAACGCGCTATACATCGAAATGACTGTAGCTCGAGAACGGTACGAGATAGGACATCGGTTAAAACGTAGTTTTAATCCAAAAAATATTACCAATAGAAAAGGTCATCGGGTAAAAAGTCGTATCTTAACTAATAAAAAAGTTATAACAATAATAAGTTTAACAAAATCTACATCGTACAGCTATTTTTTTCGAAAATCGTATGGATTTTTGATAAATAATAGTGTAATTACTTAATTACTCGGCTAAATATTAACTAGATGCATTTTCTTATAAGAAAAAAATATATTATTACGAATACATTTGGTTTAAAATGTAAAACACGGCCTCCAAACTACATATAATACTTGGGGTTTGGCCGCAATCAAATGCATAATACAGACTACCACTACAAATCCAATTTTAATTATTATAATGTTGTGGGTTATTACAATATGATTATGTAACAGATTCTTATTTAATACAGTTATATGAAATAAAAAACATTACTACAAAAGTAAATACCTTATAATAAAAAATACGGCAAACCTCTCCATTCTATCTTTAACAATTACACTGGTTGTTCATATTATTTGTTGAATTTAAATAGGTACCTTTTTAATTTCTCTTAGCACCTGTAATACAAATAAAAAATTGTAAATATTTTCTTTGATACAAATGTATATACATCTATATATAATTAATGCATGAGAGCGGTCAAGAAATTTAAAGTTTATGGTGTTTATATTTACAATGGAATTAAACTACTATATATTATATTTCATATTTAATTATTATCTTATTTGTTTGATTATTTATTTATCATTATTTCATTTATATACTCAGTGTATAATGAAATACAAAATACAAGCAATCATTATTTTAAAAACAGCAGCAATTATAACGCAACCTAACGGACGAACCCCAAGGCGTTTGGAGGCCGTGTTTTACATTTTAAACCATATGTATTCGTAATAATATATTTTTTTCTTATAAGAAAATGCATCTAGTTAATATTTAGCCGAGTAATTAAGTAATTACACTATTATTTATCAACAATCCATACGATTTTCGAAAAACAAATAGCTGTACGATGTAGATTTTGTTAAACTTATTATTGTTATAACTTTTTTATTAGTTAATATACGACTTTTTACCCAATGACCTTTTCTATTGGTAATATTTTTTGGATTAAAACTACGTTTTAACCGATGTTCTATCTCGTACCGTTCTCGAGCTACAGTCATTTCGATGTATAGCGCGTTCCGCCATCTTTGCCCCCCTCCCCCCAAGTTCTCGACCACCTGAAAAGTAGGCGACATGCGTATTTCGTATCACCACAGTCCATATTACAACTATCAGCAAAGATATTTGATATTACTTCTTTGCGATACTCACAAATTAATTCTACTTTCGGTAAAAAAAACTACACGAAAAGTCCATTTTTACATATTTTATACAATAACTTGTTTATTTTTAGAGATACGACCTCGGACCCAATGACCATTATTGTTGTCCACATTTTTAGGATTACAACGACGTTTTAACCGATGTTCTATCTTTTACCGTTTTCGAACTATCAGCGTTTTAACGCATAGCGCAAACCGCCATGTTTGCCCCCTCCCCCCCACCTTATCGACCACTTTTGAAATAGGCGACATACGTAATTTTGATCACCATAGTCCATATTACAATAATCAGCAATAACATTGCGTACTACTTTCATGCATGCTCAACCCCCCTCAGCTCCTGGACTACAGGGCTTGCACTGGTTTAACGTCTACTCGTTGAGATGCTTCACGGAGTGCCAATCGAACCGTCGTCACTTCTTTCGTCACCTCATTGGGGGGGTGGGTGTGTTCCTTGAAGTTGGTTGGATGCGAAGGCTAAAAAAAAACAACAAGAATAATAATAATATGAACGCCTATAATGTGAGTAGAGTTAAGAAAGTGTATTTGATTTGATTTCGCAAATTTCTCTATAATTTTTACGAACATTCATACAGACAATTTTAAATTCCCTTAGTCTGCAGGCTTGCTGCGAAGTGAGTATTTAAACGTAATGCTAAGAACACATTAAGCTAAGAAAAAAATAAAGAGCTTTTATAACAATTGAACAACATAACAATGCGGTATAGTTAAAGATTAATCAGTGTGGCAGATTGCGTGTAATAAATATAAAGGTTACTTACAGTCTTCGCAATCATGTTAATTGAGCACTACGGCCGTTTCGGAGATAACTCCATCGTCGGGTGCGTAGTCATTATACACTAATCTGAGCTATTTACATATTTACATTTTTTAAGTGGTTTCTTCATTTTCATTGCGTCAAAGTTTAATAAATAGTACATACAACACAAAACACGAACACGACACGAAAACATTAAGGCACGTGCACGGCTAAAAACTGACGACCGACTCACCGCTTTAGCCGTGCACGTGCCTTAATGTTTTCGTGTCGTGTTCGTGTTTTGTGTTGTATGTACTATTTATTAAACTTTGACGCAATGAAAATGAAGAAACCACGTAAAAAATGTAAATATGTAAATAGCTCAGATTAGTGTATAATGACTACGCACCCGACGATGGAGTTATCTCCGAAACGGCCGTAGTGCTCAATTAACAGGATTGCGAAGACTGTAAGTAACCTTTATAGGTATAGTTAAAGTGTAGTAACTAAAAAAATAGTCTGTAGTGCAATTTGTGTGCTATGTAATGAACCTTAATGCATAGTATGTTAATGACATGTCAATAACTCAGTTTTACGTTTGAGTTCCGGGTTTTACCACCCATTGCTGTAAAAATTACGATTCAAAAGTTATTGCAACCTTTGTGTTTTTCCTTATAAAATATCATACAGTAGTTACTGCTACTGCTTAGTATGAGTCAGATTGCTGATACCGTTTGAACTTGTACTTGAACCAAATTGTTTACGCTTTATTTAACCCTTTTAATTTAAATAAAATATTTATTTAACCTTTTGTAGATGCCAAAGATGTTTTAGCATATAGCTAGAAAAGTAAATGATATAGGGAAAACAACCGGTCCACAGTTTAACTACATATATCTTTCCAACATTTGGTTGAGAAGTTATTAATTGTATAAATTTTAGAAAATGTCGAATGTGAAATAAATTATTTAGTCGAATTTGATAAATTAACCAATGTAGTTGAGAAGATTGAATTGCATTTGAGAAAGTATTGTATAGCATTTGGAAATGTTTAATTTGATTTCAGAAAGAGTGGTTTGAATTTGAGAGGTTGGCAATTAATTGTATTTAAGACAAATATCCAAGTAAGAAATCAGCAAAATTTTGAGTTTAATAATCAATTTACAAGTTCTCAAATTGATTTAACCATTTCTTAAAAAGGATTCACTGGTCTTTATTTTTGGATTTTGAAGGGGCTGACAAAAGAAATACAATGACGCAAACCCTAGGTAGATATTTCTTCCCTGGTCTAAATCACAGAAAACATAAATGGTGGGTATTCTAAAATCTTATTTACGTGAAAAAGCGCCCAAGACAAACCCAAGATTTTAAAGACTGCACTAAGAAATAAATTAGAGCATCAAGTATTTTACAATATGTATTTAAATAATCTGCCAAACTCTTACTGAATAAATGAACGTATCAATGATTATAGCAGTATACAAAGTATAAATAAATCAACCCTACGTATGTCATTTCATTTTTATCCAAATGCTGAATTTGTGTCATAAACGCTGTATGTTTACAACTGTTACGTTAAGCAAAATGCTATTATAACAAAAGCTAGTCTAGAATAAATAGCCAAGATTAATTAAAGCATGTGATCATTGTTATTTCCCAACCTTCCCTCAACAATTGAAATAGGCCTAGCAAAAAATATTTTCTCAAAGCTTTCTTTTGAAAACTGTAGCTTCGATTCGTATACAGCAATGAATATAGAATCTTACTTATTTCCTATAATCAATGACAAAATCACAGAGTAAATAAACTAACCTCATAGTTCTATAGAATATGCATTTTAGCGAATTTCCCTATAGGGAAGTAGCTATTACCGTAGGTGGCACGGTAAGACCTAGACCCGGGACCGATTTACTTTTTCATTTTGATGTCCTCAGAGGCAAAAAACACCATTCGTTCAAATTTTTATATATGTATATATATATATATAGATTTATATATATATATATACGCCCGTGAACGCGATAACTTGAGTAAATTTTGTCCGATTTTGATGAAATTTGGTTTAAAGGTGTAAAGCGGGATAAACTTGAATGAGTTCGCGAACCAGCATGATCGGACCATGGGAACGGGGCTTTACGGGGGGTTTTATGGGGTAAAAATTGGTTTTTCTCACTTTTGACCTTCAAAACACAAAATTTCCCAATTTCTCTTAGGCCCTTTTAAAGAGATTAAAAAATCAAATAATTAAGTATGGAAAGGTATTTTTGTTCGGTTATTAGTAACGGAGAAAATTTAAAAAATTGCAAATTTAAAATTCCCATGTTATTCTTATGGAGAATATTGTCAAATGTTTTAGTTTGCTTGTTTTTATGGATATATTTTGATTATTATTATTATGGCAAATTTATTTATTTTGTACTAAGCTATCAATATTTTACTCAAAAACACACTTTATTAGTTTCCTTGAGCAGCAAACCTAGGTACTCGTTAAACCTAATGTTATTAAAATATATTTAACTGAAAATCAATTCAGACAAATGGAAATTCGCTTAGTCGGCAGGTTTGCTGCGGCGGGGGTATTTTTACATTCAACCAGGTGCTAGTTGTAACAGATTATATTGCACTAAAACGAACTTAAGATTTTAAAGACTGCTAAAAAAATAGAACATCTAGTGCATTACTATGTCTATTAAAATAATCTGTCATCCTCTTACCGAATAAATGAACATATCAATGAATATAGCATTACACATAGTATAAATAAATCAACCCTACGTATGTTATTTCATTTTTATCAAAATACTGAATTTGTGTCGCAAACGCTGAATGTTTACAGCTGTTACGTTAAGCAAATGGTATTATAGCAAAAGCTAGTCTATAATGTTTACGTTGGCTGCTGGATAAAAAAAAATAAAACTTAATTTAAAAAAAAACTGAAACCCTAAACTAAAATTGGGGCTTCGATATTCCCCAAAAGACTCGTGTGTTTTGCCAATTACCTTACACTACTACCTGATTGAAAATTATCTTAAAATTTATCTTTCCACTCTTATAAAACCTAAGGTGTTTAGATAGACTTATTAACCGATGTAGGCCTAATAATGCAATTTTATTTTGTTCGAAATAATATAGGCAGGTACACACTAACTACAATTTTAATAAGGGATTGCATTGACAGACACTCTAGATGTGTTTATTAAGTTATTACGTCTAGGATTTTAAACAGAAAACTACTACGAATTGAAATATAGGTAAAATATACTACCAAAAATATTGTAACACATACTAAACAAAAAATTAACTGACACACAATACATTTATGATCACAAAAGAATAAAATATGCAGGTATATTTTACTTACCGGGATCTCTTTGGTCGTAGTAACTGCACCACTGCAACTAAACTTAGCTCTACTAGCACAACGCCAACGGATAGTGTTCGCACTAATTTTGCTTTTACTGTAAATAAACCCGCCTAAACATAAGTTTTCTTGGCCTACTAAGCCAGATTTCAATTCTAACGCACTTTCCATACCGAACTGTTTCACTGGGGGTGTGGAGAACGATAATGAATGGGGATGAGATTTTGGCCTTGCTTAAGTACCCCTAGATGAATCATAGGCAGCTTCCTGTAGCAGTTCCACGAAATTATGAAGTGTAGGGGGGATGGACCATGCAGATCTTATATGCCATGTGGGGTGGATATATTATTATAATGTTAGTGAAATGAAATAAATATCAAGAGATTACTCCCTCGTCACTTAAACTGTAATGTTTTAAATTAAACACAGCACATATTTTATATTTAAGTTCAGTTAAAACTGATACATTTGATTCAAATTATACTTTGCTTAGTACCGAATAGTAATGCTCGTGTTGTGTAAAAAAAAATTACCAATTGATGATTAGTAAATTTAATTTGGTAAATTAAAATGAAAATCCATATGTTAACCGGTGCTTATTCTAACAATATTATAAGTAACAAAGTTTGGATGGATGGATGATGTTTGATGTTTGTTGTGATGATGTTTGATGGGTGATGAACGCGAAAAATACTAGACCGACAGGGTTGAAATTTGGCTTGATGATAGCTCACATTCACTTTTAACATATAGAGATACTCTTATCCCAAAAACGAATTTCGGGCTCCGCCCCAGTGGCTCTAGACTCTAGAGTTTCCCATGTTTATATGAGTATCTTATATATTTAAAAAAATTTGGTTTTTCTTTTCCGACTTCGTTTGCCTCTTCTACCCGACCGCATTTTATGATTGAGGTCTCAAATTGAAGGTATGCACGCACGGATTAGCCATCAAGCAGCGTAATATATTTATCTATAATCCCACTCGGCTTATACGTAAACGAATTTCGCTTCCTATGTATTTCTTATGGGAGTTAAATTTGGATTTTCAAGGATTTCACATCAAGCTTCGGCATATATTTACCTTCTGTATTAGTCGACCAACATTTTTGAATTCTTATTTCTATTTAAGATGTACTCAAAATAATCAACAAATTATAGGGTTTAATTTAAGCTATTGATCGTTTGAATCAGTTAAGATTAAGATACTGGATTACTCAATAAAAAATCATAAGTTTGATTATTTTTCGGATACAATATTTATTTTAACGCTGCGGAACAGCATGGTACAGCATGGTAACAGCATGGTAGCACATAACATATTATGCTATTGATATTGTGACGGGTAGTCACCAAAAATTATTTTCTAAATTTTGGGATTATATTTCAAAAAGACGAAAAAAGAAGGCAACTATAAGCTACAACCAATAAACTCAGTCAATTCATAATTTCGATACATGTGATTGTTTAAGTGGAAGTTTACAACAGCTGACTTTTTCTCCCTATGGACTAAAAGGCGTTTTATTTTCTAGGGAGCAAGAGAACTACTTTAGACCCGCAACTCATGTTTAGTAATTATAAACTGTTCATTTGCTGCTGTAAGGTGAAAAATACATGGTCATTCTCTTGTTTAAAATCTAGTTAACATTTAACTGAAGGAATAGTTGTTACATTAAACTTCGCATTTAAACCGGCATAGGGAAAAAAGAATGCTCAAGAACAAATACATCAGATAAGTACACCTCTAACTAGGCTAATATAATGTGATAGGCCTAGAAAATAGAGTTAATTTTGGTTTATTGAATGCAGTAAGTAGATAATTTTTCGAACATGAACATTTTATATATTTATTAATGTACATTTAATAGATGTAAATTTTATAACATTTTATAGATGTAGTAATTTATCTATTAGAATTGTAAAAGTGATAATTAATTAAGTAAAACGCTATTACCGTAGGTCTCATCGTAAGACCTGGGCCCGGGACCAGTATATCTTTTTTTTAAATTTTGGCACCCTACTGGCCAAAACCACTATTCGTTAACATTTTTTATATGTATATAAGTAAATATATTAAAATTGTACTCATTGCAATATTACCAGTTCTTCATGGAGATCCAAACATGCAAATTAAAATTTCCTTAGTCTGCAGGTTTGCTGCGGCGGGGATTTTTAAATTGCGTAGTTTGATTTCTCATCGGAATCAAATTTATTATAGTGAGTTAGTTGTAAGTGTAATGTACAAATTGATAGTTTTTGGTATCTATAATTATTGTCTTTATTGGTTCAATTTCTCATAATAAAATATACCCGTCGCAGTAAACCTGCAGACTAAGCTAATTTTCGCTTACCTAGCAAGATTTACACAAAAGTATTCCCTTAAAACTGTCTAATGATAGTGATTTAATGATTACCTAAGTTTGCTGCTAAAGTGATAGTAAAGAGGTGTGTTTGCTGGTTAAAATGTCGATAGCTTGGTATGAAATAAACAAATTTCCCCGATTGTATTAGGTACAATATCCGTCAATAAACAAGCAAACTACAACAGTTGATTAAAAAAATAAAAATAACATAGAGTAATATTTACTTTACCATTATTATTGAATTTTATCTCCCCGTTAGGCGTACAACCAACGCTTTGTGGTACTAAATGTTTTTTTTTTTTTATAAGCCCTACAAAATGGTTTAGAAAGAAATAGAAAACTGTATGTTTTAGGGTCAAAAACGGGGAATCCCTATTTTACGTATTATTTAACGTTTAAAGTTTACACGTTTATACCAAATTTCATCAACATCAGATTATATTTGCTTGAGTTATCGTGCTGATGGACATATATCTAAAAATGTGGACGGGTGGTGTTTTTGGCTGTTATGACCCTTCAAAACGAAAAAGTAAATCGGTCCTGGGAGTCTTACCATGAGACCTCCGGTAATAGCTAATAGCCTATACCTTTGAATAGGAAATTCGCTTAACAAACTGATCAATTTGTACGGAAACAATAGAAACAAATCAATAGGCACCATTAAACTATTCATCCAAACCCGCGTGATCTTCCAGAGACCGCTCATATATAACTAATTTTTGTTTCAAGGCAAAGCACAAGAAAATTCACAACCGAATGTTGTATATGCAACACTAGTTACTAGGCCTACGTTATTATTTTAAATTTAATCATCATTATTTAAATACGGTCCAAATTAAAGATACTTTTATTGTGAACTCAACTAGTATATAAAACTATTTATTGTTCTTATGAATTGGATTGACTAAATAGATAATCAAATATATAAAATAAAATTCACAATAATAAATATACAATAATAATGAACTGATAATAAAATTCACAAAAACAGCTAAGTTTTTGGTTTTTATTGTAAAAAAAAACTGTGCACTAAGGGAACAGAAAATATAAAGGCTAGAAACAACTATGTATTAGAAACTATTTGGTAATTTCCTGAGCCGTCCATATATTACTCATGCTTAAGTTTAAGACGGAAATAGCTAGCTCATTTCCTGAATCGTCTTTATGCTATTACTCTAGTGATTCAAAGAATTGGCTGCAATACATTTCGTTTAACTTAATATCTCAACAATAAGAATTCAATTCTAGGAAGGTCACTATCCCATCAGTTGCCCTCTCAGTAACGGAAGTGTTTCCTCCCCCAAAGCCATTGCCCTTTGCACCCCTCCCCCACCGGAGCACCAAAGTCATCCTCCTCTCTTACCCACGGGTCAGGTACTTTTTGGGGAGAGAGGTATTCTTGGGGGGAAAGCTAGTTGGTGTGCGAACTGAAGCCTAATGAAGCGTAAAAGGGTTCGACCCCGGATTAGGGCCAGAGCTCGCCAGGCTTCCGTTTTCCAGTCAAAGAAGTGGTTAGTGATAACATTGCTATTAAAGATAAATTAGATCAACTGACGAAGCCTTTGTCGCAGGATAGGCCTAGGACTAATGAGTTTAGGGGAGGAGTAAATCTGACTTCTGCGATCCTCTCCCCCTCCGATTTGTTGAATAAAGATCAACTAAGTACTACTGGGAAATTAGAAGATTCTGTTTTGATAGTAGACAATCAGCCAGAGCCAGTATCTGTCAATATTCAAAGTTGTCCTTCTCACGTCAATGAAGAAACAAACATTTTTGTCTCTCCACCTAGCAACAGATCTTATAGTTCTGTGACCAAGAGTAAATCCAAAGTAAAACAAACAGAAAATGTGAAGGTTATAAATAACTCAGCACCTATTTTTAGTGACACATTTACAAGAGTTGAAACAAGGAAGGGTAAGTTTGATAGAAGGGTAAAACCTACAATTATAGGCTCAAACTTGTTGAAGTCAACCATTAAGGCTGCAGAAAGAGTTAAAAGTATTTTTGTGTCTAGATGTGCTCCGGAAACAACCGCAGGTGAAATCGATAGTTTTTTAAAAAATGAAAACATAATTACTAACCTAAAAACTGAAAAACTTGTGACTAAGCTTGATTTTTACTCTAGCTTTAAAGTTAAGGTTCCTGAAAAGGACTTCGAACGGGTCTTAAACCCAGACTTCTGGCCTAGTGGGTTGTTTGTCAAGGAATTTGAGGTACTGAAACCCAGTCATAGGCCGCGCCCTTTAGCCAAGCCTAGATCTGTACCCGAGAGACAGGACTCCGCTAAGGTTGCTAACAATCCTACTTACCCTAGTAGAGTTTTTTTTAGGGAATCATTCAACTCGTCAACCAGTGAATTAATCCCCTGCATTAGGCTTCTGCATCAGAATGTCGAAGGACTAGGTAATAAAATTGATGCAGTTGAGCACTTTGTGTATGATGTTCAGCCTCATTTCCTAATTTTAAGTGAACATCAGCGAACAGATAAGGATTTGGAACTCTTTAAATTCGATAATTATAAACTGATATCATTTTTCTGCCGAAAGAATCACAAGGGTGGGGGTGTAGTTCTCTATGCACATTCTGACATATCTAGCCTTGTTTCTACCATTCCCTGGACTAATGAATACTGTGCCGACCTAGACTGCGAGTTAGTCATGGGTAAACTTGTTATCTTAAATTTTGTGATCCTAATTTTAGGTATCTACAGATCTGGTAACGGGAACTTTGACAACTTCTTTCAGAGATTTGATGCTGTTCTCAATAGAGTTAATGGGCCAAACAAAGGTAACCGTGCAAACATTGTAATTTTGGGTGACTTGAACATTAATTCACTATGTACAAATAGGCTTTATATGGATTTCAGCGATCTGGTAAAAGTGTATGATTTAGATGATGTTCTTGCAACTGTTCCAACTAGATTAGCACATAACTCGGTTGGTAGTTCAATCGGCCATGTTATTACGAATGCCAAAAACTTTGAAGCCTATGTTGTTGATGGTGGTATTTCTGACCATTTTGGTCAGGTAATTGATGTATTTGATGACAGCCTATCTCATGTAAATATTAAAAGTAGCATAAGAAGAACTTCTAAAAGAAGTTTCTCTGATAAAAATGTAAATAGCCTAAAAATGTGTCTAGATACCGAAAGTTGGGAAAATGTTTATTCCTCTAATGATGTAAATGTTAAATGGGAAAATTTTGCTGGTACACTGCAGTGGTACCTTGATTGGAACTGTCCAAAAAAATCGGTCAAAGTAAATGTTAAAAATAGTGACAGCAATGGTAACAAGTTGTCCAATAAGGTTAGGTTAAGCAATGAAACTTTGAAATTAAAGGAAGATATGTTATACCAATCATACCTTTTCAAACAAACAGGCAATCTAGCTTTTAAGGATTCTTATAAGCAACTCAAAAACAAGTTTAGACTTGAGGTAAGAAATGAGAAGGCTAGCTTAATAAAATCTAAGATAGACTCCTCTCAGAATGTTTCAAAAAGTGCTTGGGCTCTGGTCAATAATCTCAGGTTGACAAATGTAAGTAAAAATGAGTTTGTAAATATTTCTCTGAAAGATGAGGAAAATGTTGTTGTAAATAGCCCTGTATGTGTAAGTAACTTGTTCAATGATTTTTTTGTAAACCCATTTGAGGGTTGTTCTAAAGGCCAAATCACATCTCTGTTGAAACCAAATAGTAGGGATGAGACTCCTATGTGCCCTGTGGTAACCTTGGATGAAACATTGCAGCTGATCAACGGCCTTACTAACAAACTATCTTGTGGATGGGATGACTTTTCTCCAAAGCTTTTGAAAGATTGTAAATATGAACTTGCTCCTATTTTGTGTCATTTGTTACAATATACAGTTGCTAGTGGTATTTTCCCCGATGTTTTAAAACTAACTGTTGTAAAACCATTGCACAAGAAGGGTCCGAAAGATAATGTTTCCAATTATCGGCCCATCTCTTTGACATCCACTTTCAGTAAGGTTGTGGAGAAACTTATGCTTAAGCACCTAAAAAAGTTCACTATTGAACATGACATAATACCTGAATACCAACACGGCTTTAGAGAGAGTAGGAGTACTACCTCGGCTGCTGCAGAATTTGTCCACACTGCCTTGAACAAGTTGGATAGTGGTTGTAAAGTGGCTGGGGTGTGTTTGGATCTCTCTAAAGCCTTTGACAGGGTCAACCATGCAATCCTGGTCAATAGGTTAGTTGAGATTGGCCTCCCTTCTTGGCTGACATTGTTGATTAGCAGCTTTTTAACCAATCGTATTCAGTATACAGAGATTTTTTATGACAATGGTTGGTCATTGGACAATGTCATGTCAGAACAAAAACATGTTGTTTCAGGAGTCCCACAAGGGTCCATTTTGGGCCCTTATCTGTATAATATCTATGTTAGTAATTTTCCTGCTATCAATAAGGTTGAAATTAGTATGTATGCTGACGACACGTCAGGTGTATGCTGGGCTCAGTCTTTTGAGGAACTCAAGCAGGGCATGGCCGAATTTGTACATAAAGCCAGCTCATATTTTGAAAATATTAATTTCAAAGTCAACCTAGATAAGACAGAAATTGTAGTTTTCGGATTGAGTAGTACGGGCATTCCTCTGATAGATTTAGTTAAGGATGATGTGATCTTTGAAAGTAAAGAGTGCTGTAAGTTTTTGGGACTATATATAGATCAGACCTTAACTTTTAAGAATCATATATCTCATGTAAGATCTAGACTTTTAAGTGGAATCAGCCTCCTTAGAAGAATATCTTTTTATTTAGATACAGATACGTTAAAAACAATTTATTTTTGTGTCATATTTCCTTTCTTGTCTTATGGCCTTATTTTCTGGGGAAGTTCTCCCGACTGTAATTTACATACAATTTTTGTTCTCCAGAAAAGAGCAATCAGACTGATAGCCAAAGTATGGTACAAAAGGTCTTGTAAAGATATTTTTGTTAATTTAAATCTCCTCACTTTGTATGGACTATACATTTATCAATTAATTATGCTTGTGAAAAATGATGTAAAGCACACAAATAAAAATAGTCAAATCCACAGGTACGACACGAGACGAAAGGATGATTTTCACCGTGTGAGGAGGAATTTCAACAAAACTGGCCGAAGTCCTTTTGTGATGGGGTCAATTTATTTCAACCTCCTACCAAACAATATAAAGGAATTAGAAGGCACTAAATTCAAAATTGCTCTGAAGAATTGGCTAGTTAAAAAAAGACCGTACTCATCAAAAATTTCAGATCTAACCGATTCGGCATAACAATTTGGAAAACTACATTTTGAGTGATCTAAGTTGAGCCCAGGTTTGTACACTAAGAGGTAATATTGTTTTATATACATTGAAATTGTATTCTTTTTTCTTTTATTTTGACATTGGTGACTTTTGTCTATGCATTGTATATATATGTTTATGGACAATAAATGATTTGATTTGATTTGATTTGATTTGATTTGATTTGATTAAATGGCTGTAATAACGGGAAACAAATTGTAAACAAAACACGACCTCTACATAAACCGTACAGAACTAACAATAAAATTGTCTTCAGCTGTTCCATAAGGATGAGAAATCTACTAAGGGAGTATGTTTTATCTATGGCTACGCTCACTCACGTTTTGGTTGCAATTTAGCTGTTGTCATAAATAAAAAAAAAAATAATAGTGCTGCACCCTGTTGGTAATCCTTGTAACTTTAATGCTATTGAACATCATAGAACAGAACCAACTTGTTTAATTGAAACACCTGTTAAGATTCATTAATTCATTTTAAATATGAAAAATCATAAGGTTAAAATGGGAAACTCCAGAGCCACTGGGGCGGAGCCCGAAAGCCCGATCAGAATAAAATTCTTAGTTTTCCTATTTAATGCCCAAAGAATCGGTGTACCGAATTTCCCTAGGTAAATGGGAAGTGGGAGAATTAGTGATGAGTGAGTCAGTCAGTCAGTCAGTGAGTCAGTGAGGGCTTTGCCTTTTAGCGAATTTCCCTATAGGGAAGTAGCTATTACCGTAGGTCTCATGGTAAGACCTAAGCCCGGGACCGATTTACTTTTTCATTTTGATGTCCCCAGAGGCCAAAAACACCATTCGTTCAAATTTTTATATATCTATATATATATGTCCATCCGCACGATAACTTGAGTAATTTATGTCCGATTTTGATCAAATTTGGTTTGAAGGTGTAAGGCGGGATAAACTTGAATGGGTTCGCGAACCAGCATGATCGGACTATGGGAACGGGGGTTTATGGGGGGTTATATGGGGTAAAAATAGGTTTTTCCCATTTTTGACCCTAAAAACACAAAATTTCACAATTTCTTTTTAAACCATTTTGTAGAACTTAAAAAAACAAATAATTTAGTATATTGAAGCATTATTATGCGCCTAATTGTTACGGAGAAAATTCAAAAAAATTATTAATTAAATCTTATGGAGAATAAGTCAACTGTTGTAGTTTGCTTGTTTATGAACATATTTTGATAACAGTTGGAAAATACATTAATTTCTTACTAAGCCACAGTACCTTTTAATATTCTACATAAAAAAAACTTTTTTACCCTCCCTGTTGCAGCAAACCTAAGTACTCATTAAACAAATTCTGTTTAAATAGGGAATAAATGTGATATTTGTAAGGAGACATTTTAGTTTAAACTAGCTGTGTGCCCGTTCTACGCACGGGGATCTTATAGTAGTCAGTTGAAACCTTCTTATATTAAGATTAAGAGCAGCAATTAGTTTGCATATTTGCAGATATGCTGGCAAAACTATTATATATAAACCTTCGCAAATACAGTATCTGACAGTTCAAGCCAAAATAAATGCTTCGCAATTAAATGTCGCCCGGATCGTGTTGGTCCATATGTCCAATGATTAAACTTAAAAATGTTTTATAGATCCATGAAGCGTAGCCCTAAAGTAGGCCTATAATTGAAAGTTACTTTCCACATCGGTTAACTTAAACGTATTTAAAGTACTACCTCAACCTCACCATTTAACACTTTATTCCGGTTGACATTTTCAGTATCAAAGGTGCTCTTGTCCATTCCGTGAAACACTGAGAAATAAGGACATTAATGCGTTACCAACATACAACAAAACAACACAATACAACAATCCAACAAAGGCCACGAACTATTGATACATAAACAATATAAAGGCGTAAACAATTCATGATGGTTTGCCCAACAAATGTTTTACTCAAATAGGTTATCATTTTCTTAGCATACCGGGTAAGCTAAGATTTGGAATCCAGGCAGAAAAAGCAAAACTTATACAGAGTTAAGACATCACTTAAATTGAATACGGACGGCTCTAATAAATAAGGTGCAACACCAACGATATCTAATTTGTAAACTACCGGTTCTAAGGAAAAGAACCAGTACCTACGTAAGAACCTACCTAAGAATTACAGTAAATCGGACCAATTAAATACATTAATATCTAGCTTCGAGGTTATTGATCTCTTGCTTTTGGATTTTCTCGTAAAAAGTTATAGCGTAAACTTATCGGTGTCAGTTTGAAAAAAAGCAACCTTACCCAAACAACTTTTTGTTATTTATAGATTACACATTCTCTAAACAATGATTAGTATATCTATTAACATTAGAAGGAAATGTGACGAAAATCACACAATGTTGGGGTTTTGGTCATTTGTAATTTTATTTTTTAAGTAGGTAGGCCATGTATTCTATGGAAAAGTACCGGTATCAAGGATCGTCGTCAAAAAGGTTGTTATGAATAAATATGTAGGCTTACGTACCCAAGATATGAGCTATGGGCCTATTGGCTGTATGGTCCAGCGATTGCATCACACGGTGAGTAGAAATAGAAAGTGACACATTGGAAAAGCGAGTTTAGCACTTCCTCTGTTAAACCTGTGTTACAATCACCCACTGCAGTTGTGATTTTTTACTTTACACTTTACACAATCGCCATTGAAGCGCCGTCAATGAGTGGAAACCTTTTTTGTAAGCTATTGGCGACGATCATTTCAGTGTCACAGCCTTATACAACACTGATTCAAGGTCTTCTTCTTTCTGGTTGTCAAAACTCAAGAAACATTTTATACTCAAAGAATTTCTGGTTCCGATTTGGACGATGTCTAGTTATTTAATTTCATTTACGGTTACACTATTAGACTATATTATTGCACTTGCGATTAATTAAATCCGTTATGTAAGAAAAACGTTTTTAATCTCACTTGGTTGGGATTTGCTTTCAAAACGTGATTCGAAATAGTTGCGGTATTTGTAAACAGCATTTGTAAACATGTCATTGACAGCTAGAAAAAATAATCTTGATCCGAACAGCTGTTCGTTATTTCATAGACGATTCTGTGATAAAAATTGAACGAAAATTTGACAAAAATCGCACAAAACTGCATTTTTGAACGTCCATAATTTTATTTACAAAGTAGTGAGGCTATATTTAAATCACTAAAGACACTCTCGCCAATCCAGTGAATACATTAAAATGGCTTGGATCTTGATATGTACTCTGGTTTTCACGGAGAAGATTGCGTAAAATGCCATCTTGAGTGTTACAGACAAAGGGACAGACAGACAGACAGACAGAAATTGAGATAAGACTCGTTTCTGCTTCTTTAATGTATAAAACGTAAAAATAACCTAAAAGTATATAATTCTGAGCAATGTACAGACAAAACTCTAATTTTATTTATATAGATAGGCTACAATCAGGCAAATGGAAATTCGCTAAGTCTGCAGGTTTGCTGTGGCGGGGGTATTATATATTTAGATTAGGACATGAAAGAAGATTAAATTTCCTACGTGAAAAGTATATGATGACACTATTTCGGTTCAACCATTTACAAGATATAATAAATTAGTAGGATGTCTTATTGTAATAGAAAAGAAAGTAATTAATTACCTGAACATAACAAGGCTTTAATTTACTAAAGAACGACACTTGGAATATGTTAGGAATTGTGTACAAACAGTCAATTAACAAAAACATAAATAACATATGATTTAACAATTTAAACATAAAGTAAAGAAGGAAAGGCAGAGTATCAAATATTACAACATTCTTCCCTCCTTAGGAATGAAAGTAGTCTTTCAAATAGACAGGAAGCTTCCGAGGTCTATTGCTTCTTCTAATGGGCTCGTTGTTATTTTTTTAACTATTATCTCTACTATTGGATTCGGAAAGTTGGACAGTAGGGCCAGAATCTTGTAAAATAGGAGCATCAGTAGTAGTTTCGTTAATCTCGTCCACATTTAGTAGGTCTTTATTTTCAATGTCTTGCTCATGAGCTTCACACACCTCACCGAAAGGAGCTAGATGGCGTGTTGAAACAGTAGTTTCTCTTCCACCTGGTGTTAAAAGCCAAGATGGAGTTGATAGGCCATTAGCAGAACGTCTTGATAAACCAAACATTCTTTCGTGAGGGGTGGTATTTGTAGCCGTACACAACAATGATCGAATAGAGTGAAGAGCTTCCCATCGAGTGATGATCTTTGAACCAAGATCTTTGAGAGCTAGTTGAACAGTTTTCCAAATAGTACCATTATAGCGTTCAACTTGTCCATTTCCTCTAGGATTGTATGGGGTCGTCCTGCTGGTTGCAATGCCCAAGGTCATGAGCCACGTTTTCAATTCTTGTGACATGAATCCTGAGCCTCTATCAGAATGAATGAACGATAAAGCACCGAAAACACCAAACAGTTGTTGAAGACATGAAATAACTGAAGATGATGAAGTATCAAGACAAGGATAAACAAACGGGATACGTGAATACTCATCTATCACAGTCAGCATATACTTGAGAACGAGATGGAATTGGTCCTTTAAAATCAATATTAAGCCGCTGAAAAGGGGCTGAGGCTTTGATGAGAGTGTCATGGTGATTATGGAATTTTGGCTTTACTTCAGCACAGGTACGACATGCAGATGTTATTCGACGCACGTCTTCTACGGAGTAAGGAAGATTCTTGGTACGTATCCAGTGGCTAAGTCTTGAAACTCCAGGGTGACATAGTAAGTTATGGAGAGAGATAGGTTTTGCATCAATGGAAGTTACAGTAGATGATACAGAACTGACTCTAGATATAGCATCAGCTGCATGATTGTCATTTCCCGGACGATACACTATGTCATATGAATAGCACGATAGATCTAGTCTCCACCTTGTAATCTTCTCATTCTTGATCTTACTCCCATGTTTTAAATCAAATATGAATGCAACAGATCGTTGGTCAGTGATGAGTCGAAAGTGTCTGCCTAACAAGAAGTGTTTCCAATGTCTCACAGCCTCAACTATGGCATAAGCCTCCTTTTCGACAGAGGAATGGCGTTTCTCTGAGTCTGACAGAGTTCGGGAGAAGAATGCTACCGGTCGATTTTGTTGACTAAGAGTGGCG